CGTGCAATTTCTAACAAGTCATATCTGAAAAAAGGTTAGAGAGATACCTAATCACTTTGGTGATTGAGCAATATATAGGGTGTTCCATTTAAAAAACGTAAGTCATGATCTTTTAGCGAAAATGGGAACGGAAAGGTGGTTTTCAGAAAATTTTATATAAAATAGTATCCAAGTAAAGTTTGTGTGAATGATTCCAAAACTTCAGTTCCCGTGAATCATTATTTATTAAATACAGATGTGACTATAGTTCAAAGATGAACATTTCTTCAAAGACTACAGTTTTATATGGTAATGACCAAAATAAAATATGTTACTGTTATCCAGATACCTCTAATAGACCCTTGTATATGAGATAAATACCTATGGAATGGAATGAAGTACCTATGGAATGAAGTGTATCTCAAACTCGTGACTGGTCTACTTGATTTTTTGAAACAAACGAATAAATAGACATTTACCGTAAGTTGTTCGTTCAGTCCTATAATATTACAACCGCTATATTACGGATTTCAAGATTTGAGTTTCTATGGTGTGGGAATTCAACATCAGTTCAAGAACAAAACATCGTTTACGTATTTACTAACTGTATGTATCATTTATTACAACTGAATTTATTCGAATATAACGTTATCTTCATTAGTGGGAGACTACGTAAAATTACTATGATGAAATATTTCCCGTACTGCCACATTTATTACTTTTGGAATCAGTGGACAAATAAAAAATGTTTCACGTTATGAAAAAAGCAAAATTAATTATAAAATCTTCATTAATGTAGAAAGGACAAACTACCGAAAGGTGAAACCAATACCCAAAAACAAATAATTCCTGTAACATACAGCGTTGTTTTGACATGCCGGTAAAGGTGACGTTCATGTGAACATAACTTGTAAATCCTTTCTATGATCATCTCATTTAAAACGTAATTGCTTTAGGACTATATTTTGATTTATTCAAAGACGTCCCCGAAAACCATTACATGACTGATATTTTACAAATATGACTATGGTCTGAAAAGTTTCCGACCTCCGCATGAAGATGTCAGCACTTGTGAATGAAAGCTAGGGGATTTCTTTGTTCGTCTGTTGACAGTTACTCACCAAAGTTTCAGCCAGTTTGGACGCGCAGTTGTTATGTAACAGTCGTTTGAGTGAGTTGGTTTGAGGGTTTTTATGAAAATGGACCAAATCGAGTATCGAGCTGTCATTGAATATTTGTTTTCAAAAGGCAATACGCTTACGCAAATCAAAGATGAGTTGGATTCTGTGTATGGGGACGCTGCACCATCATTTAGCACAGTAAAATTTTGGGTCGTAGGAGCTTGGGAGATGATGAACGTTCAAAACGTCCCAAAATTTGCAACTATCGACCAAAACATCGCCAAAGTTCACCAAGTGGTGCTAGACGACCTCCGAATTGAAGTGCGAGAGATAGCGGGGGTTAGGAACATGTCGAAAGAACGTGTTTGCCACATATTAAATCAACATTTAGCCATGAGAAAGCTGTCCGCACGTTGGATGCGCCTTTGCTCACGTTAGACTAGAAACGTGTTCGAATGAACATTTCCAACACACTGTTGGCGTAGTTTAGGGGTAATAAATCCGAGTTTTGGCGCCGATTATTTACTGTTGATGAAACTTGGACACCCCATTATACGCACGAAACAAAAATACAGTCCAAACAGTGGATTGCAAAGGGGAAACCGTCTCCAAAAAAGCCAAAACTGTTTTTTCGGCTGGGAAAGTGATGGTGACTGTTTTTTAGCATAGTCATGAAGTCATTTTAATCGATCATCTTCAAAAGGAAAAAACCATTGCAGGCGCATACTACACATCATTACTTGACATGCTGAAGGCAGAACTTGCGGAAAAATGCCACTTTTGCAGAAAAAGGAAATCCTGTTTCACCAAGAAAACGCACCGTCTCACACCTCAGCGATTGCCAAAGCGAAAATCCACGAATTACGGTTTGAACTGCTCAACCATCCGCCTTACTTCCAGATCTAGCCCCACTCGACTTCTTTTTGTTCTCTCATCTAAAAATTGCGCTTGTAGGACAGAAATTTTTGTCAAATGAAGAGACAATCACCTTCGTGGGTAAATTTTCGTTTTGAGGGCACCCGGCGATTTTGAAAATTTTTTTTAATGTACTTACGTATTTTGATGCGTAGATTACGAATCCGTAAGAAAAAAGAGGCGCTCTCCCTTATTTACAAAGTAACGCGCTTCAAAGTTCAGAAAAGGGCGACTTTTCAGCCTTCTTTTTCACAAAATAATCTATTTAAAAACACAAACATTTATTCACTAGGTCACCTTTACACGTTATTCCTCCTTCTTTGACACTTTTCACTTCAATAATCAACATTTTTACAATAAAAATATTAAAAAATGTACGGAGTTGCTTTTTGGTTCCATATCTCTCTATTTTACGTTTTTAAGGTTATGGCATGGTTGGTACGACTGATACAGTCAATATTCATTCCTAATGTAATTCAAATGTTTTTTACTTTCATTCTTTAGATCGTAAATTGGTTTTTGGTGGTGTATTACGATTTTGAAATAGTAGGCGGCGGCAAATACCAACCGCTTTTTTCTTTTATTTATGTCTGTTAAAATTTGTTTTCCCGTTGACCAGGTTACTTTTATTATTTTACATTTTCTGGAAATTAGTCTGTGTTACTACATCTGTAAAATGAAATAATGTATTTTAAAGTATCACCACTATCATCATCACTATCAGTAATTATTGAGTGAAAATATCAGTCACTTAAAACATTCCAATTATTCATAGATTAAAAAAGATTTTATTTTGAAACGTGACATTCCTATTCTAATAGTTAGAAAATAGTATCTCCAAATGTCGTAGTTGTTTTAACCTAATCGCATCAGAAGAAGGATTTAACCATTAAATCACCTATCTGTTTGTGCTCCAGTGTCAGATTTAAGTTGAAATAACATTCACAAAAATTCTTTCACTAGCCGACGCGACGGTCGTAGAAATTTATACATGACCAGATAAAAGAAAGTATCGTTTGACATACTTCAATGCTGCATATCACCTTGCCTACATAATTATAATCCTCTCTTCGTTTTCGTTCACAATCGATAATGCTAATCCAATGAATGAATAATTACATTTAGGGACAATGGTACGAAACCATATCAACGTGTAGTTTAAGAGTGTTGGGGTATATTGAAAATAGAGCGGTATTGTTCAATTTTCCATAAAAATCCTGTAAAAATTATCTTATACTTTGAATAAATGTAATGCTATGTGAAAGGTGATTGAATACTCAGGGCAGAAAGTCAGTGGAATTCCAAAATATCAATTAATGAATAAGAGCCCAGTAAAGTGCAAGAAGAAATAGATGACTTCAATACAAAAATATTCGTTTTACACACCAACTTTGAACAATCGATTCCTGCATACAGAATTGAAAAATAATCAATAATTTCTTCAAAAGATGTCATTAATTTCACAATAGGAATTTTTGATTGCATCTATTGCATAGAACATGTAGTGGTATTGGTATTTTCAGTGTAAAATACTTGTCCTATACTACTGGATGGAAAAATATGGAAGTTTTCAATGTAAACAAAATAGTTCTTCAAGTAATTTTTGAACTATATAGATATTCCTGTACAATAATAGTTAGGACAAAATTATAATGGAGGGTTAAAGTAGTTGCAACCCAGTACCTATTGATGATTCAACGATTTCCTTTTCTGGTTTTTCTGAATCAGTTAAGTATTCGCTTTCAGGAAAAAACATGTTATCCCTTTCCTAAAATTATTTGAATCCCAGGTATGAACAAAATTCTTGAGAAATTTTTGTAATCTATAGTCTCGGCGATTATTTATCATCATTATTTCCTAACAAAGAAGATATTTCTAATTGTTGATTGCAACAAAGTCGAAGATACTAAACTTTATAAAAAAACTTATTGTGATTAGCAGAGCAGACAACGAGAACATTTTTCATATATTTTTACAGCTATATTTGTGAAATTTGAGTTTCTTGAATTATGTGGCTATAGTGAAGTAACTTGTTAATTTTCAGTTTCAAGGAAAAAATATATTTATTCTGAGTTAATCCTAGCACAACCTGAATTTTCAAACCATGACCCTGATTTAAAAATCTTAAAAACTGAAGTGACTAAAGTTAGAACTGGAACGTCTAGTGCAGAATTAATCCAACAAAAACATTTCTCCCACATTCCACAGTTTAGATTATCTCCTAGTGTTACAACTTGGTTGATGAAACGGATTTTGAGGCCAGTGATGCAGTTTTGGTGTGCGGAAAAAGGTTTTTTGTTGGATGAAGATTCTTCTAGCTTCTCAAAAAATTCTGTATTATTTAGTTTGAAAGGTGGTGCACTTCTATTCATTGTGTCGAATACGATTGAGGAAATTTTCATAAAACCGATTTAATGAATTTAAAAAAAAACACAAAAAAACATTTTCCAATAACTGTAATATTACGTAAAATATTCATATTTTGAAGAAAATTCCATACCTGTAACTTTAAACCAATCAAAATACGTTATTTTGACAAATCACCATGGCAAAGGAGGTATTTTAGCGAATTATACTGGACATTTTTCGACGTTTACAATAACAGACTATTTTTGACAGATTGGTTTTTATTTGTTCACTTAATATGTAGTTTTGATAGATTTTAAGTGTAAACAACAACTTTCTTCGAACACCTCTCTTCTTAATGGCGAAAATGCAGGACTTTGAATGTTTTCAATTTAGTGTTGTTTTATACCACTTTGTATAAAATAGTATGAAAACATAAGAAGTTTAATTCTCATTTTTCATTGAAATATTTTGTTTGGTTACTCATCCTTCAACCAACGTTCATTATCTGGAGTCTACTATTAATCTCACATATCCCAAATGTTCACCCACAATTATTCGATATATGAATAAATTAGTTCATTTGAAGATAACTTTGAAATATTGAAGTAAATTCTGTAATATAACTTTTTTTTTCAGATGAGTCTAAGATGATAGTACGTTGGCAGTTGATTTTTGGACTACTCTTAGTAGTAATTTGTGTTACTGCAGCAAGAAAGGGTAAGTTATAAATCAATAAATAAGTGCATATCTATGCCTATCATTGAAATCTCAATTTCAAGAAAAAAATATACCTAAAAATTTTTTTAAAGACTTCATTGCTATAAAACTGTTTTTTTTTCTTCAACCACTTATACGTTACAAAATTATTACACCCAACGGTAACTTGGAAGACTGGTGTACGATGAACAATTTTTTTTTTCTGATTGATTCGGTCGTTACTTGGTGAAGATCTATAGTAATTTCATAAACTCTTTATGATTTGATCTTCACAAACTTTATTTTCGAAATATATCACGACATATGTTGCTATCACAGTAGCTTTTTCGTAGTCAATAACATACTGAAAGTTAATTCCTTACTCTAATTTTGATATACCCCACGTAATCACCTACTCAGGTACTTACTCGATCATAATTACCTAAAGCGTCTACTCAACTTTTATATACCTGAGTATATGACGCTGAGTCTATACAGGAGATGGATGTCGAGCTTACGACTCCAACTGATCTCCCTGTAAATTTAGATCAGGAGCGAGTCTACAGAGGAAATGGATGTCGAGCTTACGACTCCAACTGATCTCCCTGTACATTTAGATCAGGAGCGAGAGCTTCTTAACTCTCCAAGTCCTGATCCATCAACTGAACCTAAAAAAAAAAGTTTGGTAGTGCAGCCAGAAAACGACTGAGTCTTCTCCTCAAGAGCGGGGTACCTTATGATACCGCCTTGCACCAAATTCTTGAGCGGCGTACGCAGAATCTGTCTCAGGTGGAGGAACAAACCCCACCATGAGCAGGTTAGCCAACGAGATGCTTCGCGGGTATCACCTTGACTTGCACCTTGACTATCCGACTACCTCATTAACAATGAAACAGCAGAGCATATACTTTGTGCCTGCCCCGCTGGGGTCGGAATCAGAATTTTAGAGTTCATCAGAGCCGTACTCTTACCATCTGACCTGAAAGACCACCCACCATACAAACTAATCGGTTTCGTTGAAAAGCTGGGTTTATTTGGTCGAGTGTGAATAGGTGTGAGCCACAATAAACCCTTGCGGGTTGCGGTGGATGGTCGAATAGACCTAACCTAACCTAACCTGATTTCTCGATTTTGGATGTTGGATGAATAGAGTAATTTGAATACCATCTATCTACTTTTCAATTATCGATTCAGATTTTTTGAATAACTTGCATGTTATCTTTGCTTCCGGTGTATACTCGTACATCGACTGAATGGTTGGTACTGTGTGTTTCCTGTAGTTGAAACAGCTAATGTTTCTGACAAAATGGTTAAGGCGAATGTTTCACCAAAACTGAGTAAGTCATCCCGCCACAACAAATAATGGTTGCACTAACCCTAGCACCCATAATAGTTTTTGGTAGAAAGATTGTTACTATAATAAAGATAGGAATCGTGAGTTATAAAAATCCAAAATCCATTATCCCCTTAATAGTGGATATATGAAACAATAGAACTAACTATAGTAACCAAGATTATACTTCAGAAAAGTTCCTCGTTTATGCACTTGTCTTTGATCGAAAAAAATCGCATGCGCAAAACAACAAAACTGAAAATAGTTCCATATGAATAAGAAACATGATCAACACGTTTTCATATCTTTTTTCCAATTTTTATAATCGATACAAATTTTATGAAATCGTTATGAAATTTATATGGTTAATGACAGCTTTAAATATTTCAATTTGGAACACATGGAGTTTCCATAAACACTCGCTTGGAGTAATTCTAGCTCATATGGCAGAGATCTGGACTACTATAGTGGAAATACATGTAGGCAAGCAAAGATCAGATACTGAACGGTCTGAGAAGATTTAAAATTTGTTTCTGGCTATTGGTGAAGTTGATCTGTTAAAATATGTTTTCTGTTAACCAGCTTATCAATGTGTCTGTCTATCTAAGTTATATTTGAAGGAACGCTTCATTATCGGAAATGATCTTAATATTGAACAAGAAATGGGTGAGCATAAGAGAAAAAATATATAATCTACGGTTCGGTAACACGTTAAAAACCTGTAATTAGAGTGAGATTTATTCCTCGTATGCAAAAGAGAATTGAAACTTTCTATGTTTTTACCACTTTTATTTGTAACTAACGTTACTGCAGTTTCGTCCTATATAATAAGGACATTTCAAACTTATACATACATCAAACTAAAAATGATTTATTACATTAGCCCTTATATAATGCAATCAATTATTGTTAGTTTGATGTAGGTATAAGTCTGAAAATGTACTTATAGGACGAAACTGCAGGAACGTTAGTTACCAATAAAAGTAGCCAAAACATAGAAATTTTCAATTCTCTTTTCTTCATTATGATTTCCTACCACGTAGTAACGGCTGCATCCATCAATTTATTAAATAAATTTATATTTGGACAGTAGTCAAAATCAAAGTAGCCACATAGCGCATTTTTTGGGTTGTATTCCATATCAGCTAGGCAACACTGGATCAGATTCTCAGATTTATTAGATATTGAATGATTTTCAAGTGGTGTATTCTATTTCTTCTTTAGAGAAATTCGTTAAAGAAATAATGGTTTAAAATATTATATGGTTGCGTATTGCAAAAGCACCACCGTGTCTACGACAAAAAAGCATTCATAAAAGTGCCATATCAACATGATGATCAATATAATAAAGGAATATTTTCTAAGCACTTGCAGAGAATATAGAAAATAAAAAAATAAGTTTCCTTCTTTCCCAATGAATACAATATAAAGCGACATTCATTCATTCTTTAATTCATGTACATCCCAATCTTTCATATTAGATGAAATATGAAACCATCAACTTCATTATGCTGAATTATTTCTTTCCTCTCAACTTTCACTTCCCACAATTCTGCAGATACAAACCAGGCATCATTTGAAAAAATCTGCCTCCATCATTGTATCTACCTCTGTTTTTCCGTTAACCAGCTGTCTCCCCCCCCCCATGAACGATAATCCTCAAAAGTCGAAACTTGTGAGAGTACAAGGATTAACAAGGTCTCATTTTTCAGCGTGCAATTGCTAGCACGGGTTGGACAATAGGCACAGAAAATTGATCTTACGACCTCGCGGCTTGAACCACCGTCTCACCTGACGGTCGATGGAATGAGTGGAACAAACCATTCACGCCAACCCAACCGGCTGCTGTTTGTACCTTATACCTGCTATTTTGTATGAAAATATGCAAATTAAATTAGCATTTGTTCATTCAGGTTGGCTTCTTAACAGTTGAATGAATATATTTTGCTCCATAGCATCAACTGGAATAAAATATATCAAAACGGAGTCACTGATAGATATCTAAAAGATAAAAGAATACTGAAGAGAAAATTGGATGCTTGTTTTCTAATATGTAATTTTTCTCGAAAAGAGTTCTCTGTCAAAATATTTTTACGTTAAAGTGAATTTTAAATGAATTTCATTTTTTAAGGCAAAGTATACGATCGATTTTTATTGATTTTTTATGAAATTAGTGAGAGTTAATATATCTTCCCCAACTTGTAGGTTCGAAATACCAATCTGTTATCAATCAAAGGGCTAATTGTATGTATTGCTATTCTCGCTCAAATCTGCAGCCAAACCTCTCTTGGCTTGGCTGAATACGTCGTTGGACAACATAGATGCAGTTTCTTTGAAATTCCTCTCAAACCAGTGTTCCTCCCTGTAGATGATCTCAGCTTGGGAACACCTGACGTTTCGTTGATGAGTCCAAACATGCTCTGCTATTCCCGATTTGCTAGTTTCTCTTGTGCTCGGCAATGCGGCTTTTCATAGTCTCTTATTTTCACCGATATAGGGAAAGAGCACTGGTTGTGACGGCTACTCTTCCTTTCGAGGCTCTTGCTGTCTTCTAGTCAAAGTCTGTTCCATCATAACTTATCATCACTTTGGACTAACCATTCTGTTGAAAATCTTTTCTGATGATGCCTAGTTCGTTCTCGAGACCTTTCTTTATATTACAGAGTACGAAAGCACGATCCACTAGAATCTTGATGATTCCTCTTCTCCTCCTCCTCTTCTTTCATAGATCTCGAATCATTTTAGAATCATATTTGACAATGGAAGTCCGAACTAGTAAAATTCACCATGAACCATTGTTAACCACTTTTAAACAATAGTTTTTTGGTTGGAAAATGAATCTTTCTGATATTTTCATTAAATTTGATTCAGTGAGATTTCTACATAGTGAAACCCGCTTTTGAACCATTGGTTTGAAAACCATCTGGAAGGAAAATTTCCTGAAGAGATATTGGCGCTATAAGTTATACTGAAAGTTTATTATTTGTAATTATTATCATTGGAATGCCAACAACAATCAAAAGTTGGAATTATACGACCCACGCTACGATGCATTCCAATAACTATTTACTGAGGCTGTAAAACAACAGTATAAACCAAATTGAAAGAGGAACTGAGAAATAGGTAATTTATATCACTAAAAATGATGAACCGAGTTTCCTTATGTTCTTGTCACGCTTTCTAGCCACCACGTTAGTTGGTATTCATGGCAAAATTATGTAATAGCATGGATTATCTAGAAGAGTGCTGGTTATTAGATCATAAATTTGATTTGTTGTGTTTCATTTGCCTCTTATTATACATTTGTGATACGGAAAACTGAAATAAAGATAGGATAATATAGTAATTAACTTTTTCATCAATATTTCGATAATTAATAGCCAGAAGAAACAGTAATTTTTTTCCAATGTTACCTTACGAAAATTATTTTGGTCGTATTTGTATGCCATTGGATCACTAGAATTCAAATAATAGTGATTAAAATGACTATGAAATTTCAATTGAATTTACAAATGGTCAATAGAATAAAATATGTTTTTATAATCTTGGACTATAAATACCGATATTCTATCACCCACATTATTAAATGGGCTGAAAAGTTTGTAGGATAACACACAGATGGCGCTATATGTATTTTAGTTAATCCTATCTTTTAACAGACAAGTGAATAAATTCCACAGCTGCAGGA